GTGAAGAAGTTATATTCCCAGGCTTGTTGTAAAACATCAGTTTGTTTGACCTTATAATTAAGATTATTGATGTTGTTGTTATTTCTATTCTTCCGGATATTCCAAATGGGGAAGGGAAGAATGGTCTTCCAGTTACTAGAATAGTTACTTTTTTGAATAAAAGTTTCTTTTAGGCTAATTAACCAATGTATACCTTCTTTTAACTCGATGTTAGGGATGCCCATGTTTTTCCAAAAAAATTGAGTGCCCGGGCAGTGGAGGAAAATATGTTGTGCATCTTCATAATTGTTTCTACAAACTGTGCAAAACTTGTCTATGTTCATGCCAATGCGGAATAAGAAAGCTCTGCAAGGGATGTGGTTATGCATGCATTTCCAGAAGAAGAATTTGATTTTGTTTCGACATTGAAGATCCCAAATCCAGTTAAAGTTTAATTTTTGTGCGGTAAAAGGATTTATGAGTTTGTAGCACGATTTTGTGGAAAAGAGACCACCGGAAGTGATACCCCAGGTCATAGTATCCCTTTCGAAGATCTTATTGGGGGTAGGAGTTACGATAATTTTGTTCATTAGGTTACTAGGGATGTCAAAAGAGATACATGAAAGGTCCCATTTGTCATCTTTAATAATATCTCTAATAGAAGTGTTGAGATCCTTTTTACTAAGAGGGCCATATATGTTATTTCTTAACGCACTGGAGTTGTGCATCCAATTTGAGGTCCAAATGTTCATTCTAGAGTGAGAGTGTGGGTGCCAGAGAATGCCATCGTTACAAAGTTTCCAACCTTTTAGAATAGATTTCCAAATAAAAGAAGTGGAGTTGGTTGATTTCTTATTGGCGTACTTGTACGAGATGAGTTGAGCCCATGGGGTGTTAGTGTTTTGTAACAGTCTCCACGAGAGACCTGTTATTAAGGCAATATTTTTGGAAGAAGCCTTATGAATGCCAAGGCCTCCTTCCTGTTTACTCTTAGTGACAATATTCCAGTTGACTAAATGGAGTTTTTGAGTTGCTGGTGCTTCCCCAAATGAAATCCCTTTGTATCTTATCAATTTGGTTTAGGATATTAATTGGAGATAAGTATACTGCATAGAATAAGCGGGGATTGCATTAAGCGTGCTAGTAGCAAGAGTTGTTCTACCAGCCATATTGAGGAGGGAACATTTCCAGTGCGACATTTGGTTATGTAATTTGTCTACTATGAATTGGAAGTCTCTAGGCTTAGGACTATGATTTAGAATAGGGAATCCTAGATATTTTCCAAATTCATGACTAACTTTCATTCCAAAAAGGTTTGAGAATAGGTGGAACTATCAGGAGTACAGTTTTTTGGGAGGATGATTTTAGACTTAGTAAAATTGATGGATAATCCTGATTGAGAGCAGAAAAAATCCATACTGGATTTTATACAATTGCCAGTTTTTTTGTTGGCCTTGCCCATTAGGGTGATATCATCCGCAAACAGAACATGGGAAAAAGAGGGACCTTTTTGAGAGATTTTGATCGGGTCCCAATTTAAAATATCTATTTGATAATTAATAAGCTTTGAGAGTAATTCTAAGCACATGATGAAGATGTAGGGGGATAAGGGGTCTCCTTGGCGGATACCCCTACTGGGACTAAAGAAATCAATAGTTGTCCCGTTAACAAGGATTCCCCTGAGCTAGTACAAATGCAGTGCATAATTAAGTTAGTGATTTTAGGGGGGAACTTGAAGAATCTAAGTGTTCTATAGACAAAAGACCATTCCAATCTATCAAAAGCTTTTTCCAGATCGATTTTTATCAGCATGTCAGGGATAGATTTTTGTTTTTACGAAGATTATTCATTAATTCTTGGATGATAATAGCATTGTCACTAGCTCTCCTATTTTTCATGAAACTAGACTGGAGAGGAGTAATTAGGTAGGGTAGGAAAGGTTTTATCCTGTTTGCAATGATTTTAGTGATTATTTTGTATGAGGTATTACAAAGTCCAATAGGTCTAAAAAAATTTAGGTTGTTTGCATTGGAAAATTTTGGGATAAGACAAATAGAGGTTTCATTTATACCATTTGGCAATGTTTGTGTATTAAAAACCTTACGACAGTAGGATTCTATCAAATTTTTGATGATGTGCCAGTATTTTTTATAGAAAAAAGGTTGAATTCCATCCGGCCCAGGTGCTTTGAAGGGTTTGAATGAAAAAATAGCCTTTGTAATTTCCTCATTTGTCAAGGCAATATCAAGACTAGTTAAGTCAACATTATTGTGGTACGTAGGATCATTTAGGATGGTCTTTCTATGAGAGGTGGCTTTAGAGGTTGTGAAGGCATTAAAAAAGAAATTGAGAGTATGGTCTAATATTGATTTAGGATCAGTAATCCATTCACCATTGTTGTTGGTGAAGTACATAATAGCATTACGACGTTTACGATTAGAAGCCATTAAGTGGTAGAATTTTCTATTTGCATCCCCATCATTTAGCCAAGAGATTTTGGAGCGTAATTTCCAAAAGTCTTGTTCCATTTTTAGAATATTGTTGTATTCTAATTGGAGTTTAAATTGTAAGTCTTTCAAAAAGTAACTTCTATGGTAAGAGGGAGAGGATTGAATTCCATTGAGCCGAGCTAGGAGTATTTTTTTTCTTTCTGAAAATATCCCCAAAAGTCTCATTTTTCCAGTTCATAACAATGTCTTTGAAAGTAACTTGAGCATCAATTAAACTATTATTTGACCAACATCGTTTAACAATGTTTATGAAATCAGGATGTCTACATCAAATTATTTCTAATCTAAAAGGTTTAATTAGCGTTTTTAGGGGATAATTGGACTAATAACGGGCTATGTTCAGAGTGAGTTCTGGGCAGGTGGGTGGCCATAGCCTTGGGAAAAAGGGATAGCCAGCTATTATTAACAAAAATCCTATCTAATCTTTCCATAATTAGTCCTCTAGATTTTTTCCTATTATTAGTCTAAGTATACGTACACCCTTTATAACCTAGGTCCAATAGATTGCATTTGTTTATGCTATTCTAAAGATTATTAGTTCTCCTACTGTTGATTGGATTACCACCAAATTTATCATTAGCGCTAAAAATGTCATTAAAATCTCTCCCTAGGAGCCAGGGCTTAGAGTTATTGTTATGAATGCTTTCAATGTTATTCCACAGAGTACATCTTTTTCCTAGGTTAGTACTAGCATATACTAAGGAAAATAACCAAGAAGTATTAAAGGGAGTTACCTCAATAGTGGCGTGGATCTCTTGGTTCCTCCTAACAAAATCATGGACTCTCACTATGCTAGCATCCCACATAATAACCATACCCCCATCTTGACCCTTCTATGGGACCTCAACCATTTCCGTAAAAGGAAAATCATTCAGTAGGGTGATATGATTTTCCATACGGGTTTCTAACAAAGTTACCATGCAAGGTTTGTAAGTATCAACCATCTCCCTAAAGTTGATACGGAAGTTGTCATTGTTATCCCCCACGAATATTCCAAATGATGATGTTAGTAGGCCTATACATCATTTAAACATGATTGTTGTTTGAGCTATTCTCCATTGTTGCATGGAGCACTGGGTTCCTCCTCAGGGAAGGACAAGTATCATTGCATGGCCCCCACTGTTGGGTCTTGTGGTGGCATGATGTCCATTGAGAACTTGTACAAGGCTGGGGGGGGAACTGAGCACATACCTTCTCTAGCATCTCCTTGAAGAGATAGACTTTTACATTGTTTAGACTTGGGATTGGACGGTTGTGGAGGTAGGATGTTTATTGGGGGAACTGCTTGAGCTTGATTTTGGCAGAAGTGAGGGGCTGTTGCCCATGGCATGAAGATTGGGTTTAAGTTCTGGATCTCCCCTGGGGGAAAGAATGGGAGATCCAGTGACATATTCTGTGGTTGGAGGGGATTGAAGTGGTGAGGGAGGTTCCACTGATTTCTCATGGTTTGAGCTTGGTGTGCATTCATAGTGGGGGCCCATGGGTGAAGTATGTTGTTTAGCCAAACGTGGTTGTGGTAGTTGCTCATGGCCATGTGCATTCCCTTAGAGATAAGTTGTGCTAGAAAGTGAGAGTTTTGGAGGATGATCACTGTTTCCTGGCCATCTAGAATCATGTTGAACGTGACTGCATGGCCCATCAGTGCTTGTTCTATCCATGATAGAGGTTGGTGATCTTGAGGGAGAGGTGGTTGGATGAAGAAGGCTGTTTGGCTTCCCTGTTGGTTGTTCAACTTTGGAGGTGGGTTGGCCATTGTGTGAGCTCTTTGGTGCCTTAGGATTTGTACAAGTCAGTACCTCATCCTTTGTGATATGGGAATTCTTGGCATTGTGAGTATGAATGGGTTGATTTATAGTGGTATGATTTGTTCACTGGAAGGTGGAGTGGTTTGGGTAGAAGGATTTTCTAGGATGTTAATGATTTGGTCTATTTGCATGCTTTCTTTACATGTTGGAGCAGAGATTTTAAGCTGATTTGGTATAGTAGTAGGGTTAGGCACGTGTTTCTTGTAACTGACCAAATGTTTAAAGGGTAGGGGCATGTGGGACATGTGTTGTGGGGCCTGATCTTCATCCATGTAATTGTTAGAGATGTTATCAATTAGTTTAGGATAATTAGAGGGATGGTTATCGGATGAAATATCTTCTCCCCGGTAGTTAATATTATTATTATCAGTTTTATTATCTACGTTATTAAGATTAGTGGGGGTGTTTAAAGACTGCATATTGGGTAATTCACTTACCTCCATGTCAGACACGTTGTCATTGGGAGGTTTCGTTAATGCCACGTTAATATTGTCTAAAAATAAATTGTCTTTAGAATTTTTTATTTTTGTGGGCGGATTCTCCAAAGTGGAGAATTTGTTACTACAATTTACGAAATTTCTTTGAGGAGATGTGAAATTATTAGCCGGGGTTTTTTTTTGTTACTCATAGATTGAGTGTTTGAGAGGATATAATTAGTATTAGGGGTTTGAGTAGAAAACTTACCCGGTATTGGATGAGGGAGATTTTATTGAATACCTGGATTTTGAGTGGTTTCAGAACCTCTTCCATTGGTTCTTTTTTTCTTTGGGAACTTAACCGTCTGCCATGCATTGCCATTAACTTCGCTGACATTTCTTACTTCCTTAGAGTGAGGATTTGGATTACCTGGAATGGAGTTTATGGCTGGCAGTGGAGTTTTTACATAGTGGCACCTCATTGCCACATGACCCAGTCTTCCACATTGCTTGCATAGAGTATTCTCACCCTCGTATTGGATGATTTGTTTATGGTGGCCAATATTGATGAAGGGAATTACAGGAACCTCGAGTGGGAGGTCAATGCACAATCTAGCGTAGCGTCCCCTTAGCGTTGAAGAAGTGCACGTATCCACTTTTAGTAACTTGCCAATGGCATTTCCAATTTTTGCTAAAATAATACCATCATAAAATTCGGTTGGTAATTGAGGTAGACGAATCCAAATGGCTGTGAGTGAGCTCTTTACTTCTGTTGCCACAAAGTTTGGCTTCCATCTCTGGATAGAGAGAAAACGGCCAAATATGAACCACGGGCCATTGTTTAGGACTCTGATCATGTGTTCTTCGCATTTGAATTTTGCTATGTAGTAGTCTTCTCCCAAATCGATTAGGGGAAAATTATCCATAATTTTCCAAGCAACCTGAATTTTCTTTTTGAGGATATGGTGTTGGATTTTTTTACCATGTAGTTTGATAATGAGAGAATATCTCCATGGTTGATATATACATTCTTGGTCTTCCTCTGTCAAGTGAATTCTCTGTTCATCCACGGACCTTGAGTGAATGGGTAGGGGATTTGATTCTTGGAGTTTTGTAGTAGTATCAATATATGTAGGGGTCTCAGCAATTTTTAGGGAATGCTGTACTCCTTCAATAAGTTTGTCTTTAAAACTTTTGATTTCTTCTTTTTGAGTGTTAGTATCCTTATTCGGTGGCTTAGGAGGGATATGGAAATTGTTGTTGATTGGATCCATTTCAGAGGGTGTTTGAAGTTGAAGGGATGAAGATTAGCTTTGTTTAGAGAGAAGATAGAGGAAAGTTTTTTATACACGGTTAATATCTACGCTTTTTAACACTTCAACATCCAGAGGATATCAATTATTAAATAGCCAACTTTAGAGGGTAACTAAGGCTGTAATTTGTTTGGGGGATTTTTTTTAACATAAGTAAATATCCACGCTCATTACAAAATTAAACTCTTACTTCTATAAAAATAAATATTCGGATGATAGTTATGTGCCTGGACATAAAAAGAAAGCTCATTCCCAAACGAAGAAAGAGTAGATTAATAAATAAAAATATAGCAGTTAAATAATACCTTTTGCTATAGTAATTTAGTTTTTCTAATATGTTGGAAATAATTCTTATGATATTTTTTATTGATTAAACTAATAGAACAATTACAGCTTAGTCCTCAGAATGTCTTCCTTCGTTGATGTTAGCTAAATAGGATCAATAATTTTTTTAGAAACTTATAACGTTTTTCACTTTAATTTTATAACTCAAACACAAATTTTAATATAATATTTATGTAATTTTTTAAAATTTTATATTTGTTGAGATAAGCTACACATGCAACGCGCGTACCCTAAGACTAATTATATTAAAAGCACGAAGGCCCTTAGCGAAATATCGTTCGCCTTTTTTATCCTTTTAAAATGGAGTTCACACTTGACAAAATAGTCATTTACTATTTTCTTAATATTTAAGAATACCCATTTAAATAATTTCCTACTATTTAGGAATAGTCATTTAATTAATTCCCTACTATATAGGAATTGCCATTTAATTATCTCCTTTAATACTTATAATATTGATCTTCAATTCTTTTTGGTTCTAAAATTTCAAGCACACATATGTAACGACCCGACCAGTCGTTTTGAGCATTTTCACTTTGCTCGGTAGTTTGAGTGCATGAGTAGCCCCGTATGATATATTATGACTTGTGTGAATCATCGGTTTTGGTTTTCAGGTTAATCGGAATCGATTTAGAAGAACGAATATCATGATTGAAGCTTCAAGTTGGAGGAGTTGACCAAGTTTGGCTTTTGTGAATTTGAGCTAGGAACGGAGTTTTGAGGGTTTTGTTAGGTCCAGATGGCGATTTTGGACTTGGTGTATGCCCGAGTTTGCATTTGATATTTCTAGAAGGATTCGCCGCTAATTGGCGAAAGTTGGAAATTTGAAGGTTTGGAATGTTCATAAGTTTGACCGAGAGTTGAATTCGATATTATCGGGTTCATATTGTTGTTCCGGGAGTTAGAATAGGTTTGATATGTCATTTGGAACTTGTATGCAATAGTTGGATTAATTCCGGATTGGTTAGGCTTGAATCGGACGCTTGGTTCAAAGTTTGAAGTTTATGAACTTAAGAAATTGATCTTGATCGGCGATTCATGATTTTGATGTTGTTATGTGTGATTCAAGGCCTCGAGTAGGTCCGTGTTGTGTTATGGGACCATTTCTAGGCCATTTTTAGTTGTTGGTTTTTGGCTACAGGGGTGTACATTGCGATCGCGTGGATTTGGTCGTGTTAGCGAGAAGAAAAATAGGAAAAATGGAGTTGTGAATCGCGATCGCGGAAGATTTCTCGTGATCGCATAGAAGAAAATCTCTTTTGCACTGACCAGATTTTGGAAGCTTATAACTTGCAATCTATAAGGAATTTGGAGATGATCCAAAAATGAAAATTGTAGCCCTTTGAGTCTAATTTTAAGAAAATCAAATCGTTTGTCATTTGGAGTTTTATACAAAAAGTCATGGCTAATATACTACAGGCTGTCTGAGAAGAGTTGGGAAGGGTTAAATGGAAGTTTGTTCATCGCGATCGCCGGGAAATGGCCGCAATCGCGTAGGGTAAAAATTTTCCTGCAAAATTTTGTAATCGCGATCACGAAGGGTGCCCCTGGAACAATGTATAAAGTACTCTATTACGGGGGTTTCTGCCATTTTTGCCTAATTGGAGCTATGGAGCTCGGAATGAGGCAATTTTTGAAATGATTTTCACCATATGGATTAGGGTAAGTGTTCTCTACTCATTTTGATTTTATATCATGAATCTATCTTTGTTTTCGGCATTTGATTGAGGATTCTAAAAGAGAGTTTTTTGTTTTTTTGGCTAAAGTTTCATTGAGCAAATTTTCGAGTTTTGAACATTGATTTCGAGTCGGATTTGAGTGAAAGTAGTATGGTTGGACTCGTAATTGAATGGGTTGTTGGATTTTATAAGTTTCATCGGATTCCGAGGCGCTGGGCCCAGGTTTGACTTTTTGGCCAATTTTGGGCTTTTGATTAAAAATTAGATCTTTATCATTTGGAATTGTTTTCTTCGGCATTTATTGATGTATTTGAGTTGCTTTTGGCTAGTTTCGAGCCGTTTGGAGGTCGGTACGCGCACGATGGCATTTTGGGGCATCGTTTGGCTTGCTCGGTATTGGATTTGGCTTGTTCGAGGTAAGTAATACTTCTAAACTTGGTGCTGAGGGGTATGAAAACCTGAATTACATGTTATGTCTTTGGTGTTGAGGTGACGCACGTGCGAGGTGACGGGCGTGTGGGCGTGCACCTTGTGAATTGTGACTCTGTTATTTTTGTGGTACTGTGTAGTTACCTGATCTTATCTGTAACCATGAAACCTCTACGTAGCAGAGCTTTTAAGTTGTGATTCATGTTAGAAACCATGTCTAGGCTACATGCTTATTCTATTGGGACCCACCGAGGTCGTTTCTATTGTTGAGTTATTTGCATACATTGCAATTACATACCCAGTCATATCATTCATTTGCATGTCATATCTTAATCTCTGTTACCATTTATTGATATCTTTTTTGGGTTGATTTTCATGACATTGTGAGCCCGAGAGACTGGGGGGATTGATGACTGAGCGAGGATGAGGGCCTGATTGTGAGAATATTTATTTATGATGGGAGCGGGCTGCACACCGCAGCAGATGTTATTGATTCATGCCATGATTGGCTTATTATAGTGCTTACGCTGAACGAGCCCCTCCGGAGTCTGTACACACCCCTAGTGAGCGCAGTTACCTACTGAGTGCGAGTGCCGAGCGATTGGGAGGATTAAGTGACTGTAAGGACTGAATGACTGGGAGGACTGAGTGAATTGATACTCTGAGAGTATGCATATGGCTTTATCATTGAGTTGCATCGCATTTGACATGCACACTTGACATACAGACATAGAAATGCATTTTCCTCATGCTGTACGGTATCACGTCATTCATGATTCTCATATACATTGACATGTAGGCGTAGGGATGTATTTTCCTCATGCCATTTGATAATGAAACATCTTGTATATTGTTGAAAAGTTTTGGAAAAAATCACAGTTTTACAAACCTACTCATATTTTGGTGATTTTGATAAAAGAATTTGGGTTTTCACTGATATACTTGAAAAACATGTCTATTTTTTCGTAACTGTGAACGAGTTGAGCATCTTATATCTAAGTATGTTTCCTGTACCATTATTATTATTTTGTTGTGAACTGCTATTGGCTATTGGTGTTAGACCCCGACCTCTATTCCAGCTCGTCACTACTTTCAACCTAAGGTTAGGTTTGTTACGCATTGAGTACATGGGATCGGTTGTACTCATAATGCACCTTGGTACAAATATGGATGTTGAGGTTGCTGTGTATGACGGGAGCTAGCATTGAAGACGTATATGTGTTCTAGTTACAACTGCCTCTTGTTCATGGTAGCCCTAGACTTATGAAAATTTATTTATGTATATTCGGACAGATGATGTATTTATTTTATACTAGCTTTGTAAATTTTAAATCTTAGAAGCTCATGATTTGTACTACCAGTCCTTGAGAATTCTTGTATAAAAGCAGTTTTATTATCATTTCTTTCTTGAAAAATATCATTAATTTGGATAGTTGTTAATTGACTTACCTAGCGGGTTGGGTAGGTGCCATCACGACTAGTTGGATTTTGTGTCATGACAAGTTGGTATCAGAGCCCTACGTTCATAGGTTCTACAAGTCATGATCAAGTGTCTAGTAGAGTCTTGCAGATCGGTATGATGATGTCCATACCTATCTTCGAGAGGCTACATGGCATTTAGGATAAACTTCCCATCTTTCTTTCCTTATCGTTGGGCATTGATTCATCTTGAAGCGTAACTCTTTGAATCCCTTTCACGCATTCATACGCGCATGTGAGCGCTCAGTATCAGCTGTACGTCGACGACTTGTGATTCCATGGATGAGGTGCTTGATGTGATTTCGGCGTGCTGATGATGGGCTAGTCTGGAGGACTTGAGGCTCGGTTAGGACCGCAGCTTAGTCTCGGTAGTTTTAATTGTGTGAGCACGTGCTTTTGGACTTATAAGTCTGGAAGAGTCCCTACAGTGGAATTGTGGCTCGATGAGTGGCTGGGTGACCATATGATGAGTATTATGTGCCTGCGGGATATGTCCAAGTGGTTTGAATATAACGGGAAAAGTTTGTTTGGGATGTGAAAAGGACTATTGGGTGCTTGATTTCTGTCTTGATATGACGCATAGTCTCAAGTTATGAGTGTATTAAAAGATTTTCCATATGTTTTAATTATGGAATGAAGTAGATTATTCATGTCTTGTGGTGAGTTCAGACTCAGGAAGATTAAGTGATGGCATAGTAGTTGTGGCTGTGAAAGGTTATGGAGAGATGTCAATTTGAATCTAAGCAGGTGGGTTATTACCTGCGGGGGTAAACTACGGATGTGTGATCATTTTGATGTTGTGGAGGCTTTTTTTTACCAGCGGGTTATGATTATGCGACTTGATTATGGATCGGTTGTAATAGTTGACCTGACCATCACGTGGATGTATGCGAGTTTAGTAGATGATTTGAGGTACTATGTGGTTTGTGTTATGTGAGCTTATAAAGGATTTAGTTGAATCCCCCTGCGGTATTATGGCAGGAATAGAGTATGGGTATTATGAGTTATCGACTGTTTTGATCCATGGCT